AGGTGTGTATTGACTCCCATATGTAAAGACATGGCTGGAAGCAATGTGGGATGGAGGTTTGATCATTCCGAGGTGTGTTACTAAGCAGTGGCTTCTACCCATGACCACAGCTGCTTCTTAAGAGCTGGCAAGAGCAAGAGGTTGTTTGAACCTATGGAGTGTCCTTATTCTATGTTTTGCTAGCCAAGGAGTTTGCAGGGCTGTCATAAATGCTGGCATCTGTTATTTCCAGATGTGTTACAGAATTGGAATGGGTTTGGGTTGGAATATCTGTGAAAAAGCTCTGATGCTCAAGTATTTCTATAAAGTGTGCAGCTTTCAAAATTAGCCCGAAGACCTTTGTATGCAATAAGCTAAAAAAAGTGTTAATTATTTTATATCTGCAAACGTAAAAAAACAAACAAAAGAACCTTTCTGGCCAGGTGCTGCCATTGCCAAATATGCATTTCAGTTAAACTTTGCTGTGTTTACATTTCTAGATAATAAAATTCTTTGGTTTATGGACTGCCAGAAGATAGAAAGCTGAGATTAAAGTCTCAGATTTGATAAGGTTTGTTGTAAAGTAAAGGTAATCATGAAACAATGCCTATGTAGTCAATTCTCTGGTTATTCATGTATTTTGTAGCAGTTCAAGCTTTTGTCAGCCTCACTGTCTTCTCTTTTCTTTGCAGTGCATCAGGGTATGTGTTTGCTATTAAATATTTTAATTAATTTGATAGAGGGTGAAGATGAGTAATTCTGGTTTTTGAGAAGCTTATTGAGCTATGACAGTGATACAAAAGACAACAGTCTGCTTTGATTTCCACTTTCTGGAGATTCCTTTTGTAGAAAGTCTACGTAAAATAATACTTCCAGGATAAAAATTCAGTGTGCCGGGACCACATTTGTTATGAAGACATTTTCGTGTAGCCACCCAGCTGTGCAGAATCCTCTTTGCCCATTCACTGGGCTGTGAGACATTAAAAGTCTTTCATTTTAATCTTTCCACCTTGTTTGTTTATAAACTTGGTTTCAACAGCTTATAAAACAACCTTTTATGATTTCTTTGTGACATTTATATTGCCTTCATTATCCCCATGTATCAGCATTTCATCATCTGCACCCACTGCTTTAGGGTATATGTGCAAGTGCCACTATCCCTATTGTATGGACGAGAAACTTGAGGACAAAGTAACAAAAGCCATTGGTTTTAGGAGCCAAGCCCACAAAAGGAAGGGTCGAATCCTGTCTTTATCCTTCGTCTGTCCTGTGTTTCCCTTTTCTCAGGCTGTCCGGGTGGCTTGGGCTGCTAAGATCCAGGCTGTCTGCTCAAATCACTCTTAGCAGCATGCCTGCACATCCCATCTGCCAGCATGAGCCGAGTGTTTAGAGCTCCTGCAGGAAGACTTCTGCATCCAGCCAGTTTGCTGAAGCCCAGCAGATGATGGCTGTGAGAAGTGGTGACAGCTAAGCCTGGTGTACGTGTGTGCATTCATCTGTGCAAAGGTCTGCTCCAGAGAGTAAAGTGTAGCCAAAATTTCTCCTGTGTAGCATCACTTGAAGCCTGTTTCACACCCCTGACTCAAACCATCTTGCACCTGCCAAAACATGATAGGGTCTTTTTATAGCTGGATCATAAGACCTTTGAAAACTCAGATTGTTAGAGCCTTTTTAGCAGAACAACAGATTGGTTGTACATGTATATCTGGTAGCTGCATATTGTAGGCATCTCAGAGGGTGAGGACCATGAAGTATTACCACTCCATAAAATAGTACTTTCTAATGTTATTTTGCTGACATCTGGCAAGTAAACATTTTAAACATTCATGTAGTATTTCACTTGTAAATCTCAACACACATGCATTATTGGGTATTTAGGCCTTAACTCATTTCCCAATAAAGAGAAAAAATTCTACTTTCTTCACTGCACTTTTTCCAACCCTCACAGTGAATGTTGTCTGTTGAAAGTAGAATGGATACTAATTTGGTCCCATAAAACCACAGACTGTTTCAACTTTCCTTGGGTTTCTAAATGAATAGATGATCAGATCCCATGATGCTGCTCTCAGCCTCACTGGTGATATGAAAGAGGTGCTTGTCCAGCTGGCTGTATAGCCATGCCATTCTTTTGTTGCCTGTAGTACACATGCTCAGCTCCTTTTTGCTCTCTTTTTATTTTAATGCTCTGCAACAGGGCTGCACAAAGCCGAATTGGCTTTTAAAGCACAACTTCATTTTGCAGCTATACGTCTGTGCCCGGTTTTCTTTTGTGCTGCTCCTGGAACAAGGAGGCTGTGTGGTATCTGACACCAGGCTTTTCCCAGTGATTTATTAACTGTGTCAGAATAGCTGTTGTGAATTCTGGGAAGCTCTTGCATATTGTGACAGTTGATATTGATTATGACAGTTTGTAGACTCTAGTATGTTGTTGGACAGTGGATCGTATTTTGTCTTCTTACTATACATACCACGGGCTGTAGATCATAGTGTTTTCTTAAGAAAAGGAACCATTGTCTGACATTCTTGCTGGTATGAGAGAACTTCTGTAGGGTATTGTGCAACAAATAGCAGAACAGCTCAGGCACCCTATGGGACAGACAGGCAAATGTCAATTGCTTTAGGGAAAAGAAAGGGAATAGTTTGCTCTGCTTCTCGCCTTTCAGGCGAGTGAGTTGTGCAGTTGACAGAGGTGGGTAAACTACTCTGAGAGTGTCATTTATGAAAATACTGGTGTCCTGTATTGTCTGTTGGCCAGAAGTCCACAGACCTTGCAGGAGGAGGTTGCAATGAGGATTTTGGCTGCCAGTCTTTTTTAAAAGTTGCTCTGGGTCTTGATAGAGGCTGAAACTACACATTTCTAGAATGTGTCTGAGGAAGAAAAGATAAAGATTTCTGCAATCTGGGGAGAAAGTGAAAGCTGGTACGTGAGTTTCTGTGAGGAGCATACAGAATCATAAAGTCATTTAGTTTGGAAAAGACCCTTAAGATCATCGAGTCCAACTGTTAAGCCGCTGCTGCCAATTCCACGACTAAACCATGTCACTACATGTCACACCTACACGTCTTTTAAATGCCTTCAGGGATGGTGACTCCACCACTTCCTTGGGCAGCCTGTTCCAATGCCTGACCACCCTTTTGGTGAAGAAATTTTTCCTAATACACAATCTAAGCCTTCCTTGGCACAATATGAGGCCATTTCCTCTTGTCCTGTCACTTGTTACCTGGGAGAAGTCAAACAGATCACCCCAAACAGTGACCTCTCCTGACTGTTTGGTTTTAGCCAGGCAGGAGTTAAAGTAGCACAGTGGAGAAAAGACTTTTCTGTTTGCCTAAAAGCTTCTTCAGTGTGGAAAAACGTCAACAGCTGAGCTTTTACAGACAACCTGATCAGGGGGAGGGAGTCAAAAGCCATTTGCTTAATTATACTTCTGTAACTTACTATAATGCTACTATAATATTGGAGGAAAAATCCTCCAACGATACACTTCTTTTAAAAACAAAGCAGCACTTGAGGTGGAGTGTTGACTATGAATAGAAAAGTAACGATTCTGATTTTTATGTTCTGTTTCTGCATGACCATAACAGGTCATAAACTCCACACTTTGAGATAAAAAACCTTAGCAAAATGACCTTTAGCAATCTATGCTATTAGAATTTTGATCTCATACTGGGGTTAGATTGATTCAAATGCACTTCCAGCTGCAAATTTACGTTGTTGTGTTTCAAAATCCATTTCTGCACATACCTTGTAGTTAAATTCAAATAAATGTAATAGCAGAATACTTGTATAACGATTGTTTCTGGGATACTTTGGGCCAAGACTATGGCACTGAGCTGGGACCTAGGGGAATGGGATTCAGTTCTTAACCCCTCTGTGGGCCTGATATTGGGCACTCAAATCAGCTCATATCTCTCGTGAGATGAACTCATCCCCATTTCTGGTTATTTATTTACACTATGAGATCTTTCAGAAGGAGCACTTCCTATCAGAAGCCAGTTTTGATCTCTCCTGGGTTTTCTAGGTGCTGCTCTAATGCTAACTATATTTTCGGTAATGCGATCAGTATTTTAATGAATCCTTAATGTTAGCAAGGAGACAGATTTAAACTAAGTGGTTTGATGTGAGTGAAGATGCAACTTCCCGTTCTATGCTCCCATTGAAGTTGGATTAATTCTAGCACTCCCTGTGTCATAGTTATGTTCCATAATGATAGAATGCTCTAGAGTTTGTACATTCACAGCACTACTGTAAGCCTCATGGATACTGAGATCTTACAGTGCCATGTCTCAGTCCAGTGTCTGGTGTTAGTGCTATATTTATATAATCTTGGGTTTTATTGCAGAGCAGCCACAGCAATATCAGAAATGCTTTAAAGGAAGGATGAAATGGAAGAGTTTTAAAATTTCTGCTTTTCATTGCAGGCATATTTTATTATTATTTTTTCTAATATTAATAAAATATTTTGAAAAATGTAGGTGTGAGGAATGAAAAGGTTCTGGTGTTCAAATGTGAAGATGTTTCCTTAGATTAGTTATATCTTAAGCTCTGGTGACACTTCTCTGTGCACAACTCTGTCTCCTTAAGCCAGAGACCACACGTGGAGAAGATAATTTTGGTATTGTGCTGTGAAAAGTGACAGCTTCCCAGCACCAGTTTTAGACTTGCAGTCACTGTCATGAGAGGCCCCTTCCTCCTGGCTTTCCCGTGGCTGTCATGGGGCTCTCAGACTATTTCCTCACTAGCCCTTGCTGATTGTTTACCTGGGATCTTCTCCAGATGTTCCAGCCTCTTCGAGGTGTCTCGGGTCCTTCCAGTTCAATCCTTAAGAGAGCTTATTTTGTTTTCCTGAGTAAAGGCATTGAAAATCGCTGCAGAAGGTGGATGCATTTCCCTCTCCCATCCCAGTGCCCTGAACAGCCTCGCAGGTCCATTTTATTGTCAGGAGCCTGTGGGAGCCTTCTCATCCATAGGTTGAAGCCTGCTCTCTGACATCACTGTTGTCTTTCTCTCTTCCCTTTAGACGGTGTTCACAGCGTCACAGCGGTCTGCACCCTGCGCGTCACCATCATCACGGATGACATGCTCACCAACAGCATCACGGTGAGGCTGGAGAACATGTCCCAGGAGAGGTTTCTTTCTCCCCTCCTGTCCCTGTTTGTGGAGGGGGTGGCAACTGTGCTCTCCACTGCCAAGGATGGCATCTTTGTTTTCAACATCCAAAATGACACAGATGTCAGCTCCAATATCCTCAATGTGACCTTCTCAGCCTTGCTCCCTGGTGGCATTCGAAACAAGTTCTTCCCCTCTGAGGACCTGCAGGAGCAGATCTACCTCAACAGGACTCTGCTGACCATGATTTCCACACAGAGGGTTCTGCCCTTTGATGACAACATCTGCCTGCGTGAGCCCTGTGAGAATTACATGAAGTGTGTCTCTGTCCTGAAGTTTGACAGCTCAGCCCCCTTCATCAGCTCCAACACAGTCCTGTTCCGCCCCATCCACCCCATCAACGGGCTGCGGTGCCGATGTCCCCCAGGCTTCACCGGCGACTACTGTGAGACGGAAATTGACCTCTGCTACTCCAACCCTTGCGGGAGCAATGGGCTGTGTCGAAGCCGAGAAGGGGGCTACACTTGTGAATGCTATGAGGACTACACTGGTATGTGTTTATCTTATCTTTGACCCATGATTTATATGTAAGACCATCAGCCAGGCCAGCTCTGTGTCAAGGTGAAATTGCTGACATTCTTAGTCAAAGGGAGAAAAACTCCTGGCACTGCCTTCTAGCCAGGAGAGGGTCACACGTCACTTAGGATAAGTCCTGTATCTGTGGGTGTGCATGGTGGTAGGAACGGTGCCTTCCTCCAGGTCATGCAGGGGGACTGACAGCTGCTGAAGCATTTTGCACTGTGTGAATTTCTGCTCAAAATGCTTTATGCAAACATATTTCTTCTGTCTGGAAGGAAAAAGGTGGGACACATTCCCACTATGGTTTTGTGTGTAGACACCTTCTTGCTCCCTTTGCAGTGCCCACTTTGCAGGGTATAGTGTGGCTGCACAGTCTTTGTAGGAGGTCCTCAACCCATGGCCATCAGCAAGTGCAGAGCATTAGGATGGTTCTTGTTCCCAAAAAGCTGCAATAATACATATTTATGGGAAATACTACAAGTCACCTCTGGTTTGTAAATGTCCAGATAAAACTCCAGAAGGATGTAGCTGCTTCCAGGCCTGTCTCCAGCAGCCTGCTGAGGAACGTACTTTGCCTCGTCATGGACTTGACAGCTGATAAAGATCAAAGTGCTGCTTCTCAAATACTCCTGAGAAGTTATAAAAGATATTAGCTGAATGTTTTCTGCTGCTTCAGTAAAGTCAGTGGGATTATTTATGTATTTGAAATTGCACATGCATTTAAGCATTCTGCACTGACGTGCTGCCAGCTGTAATTTATGGTGACAGCTCAGCAATGTCTGCTGTGACCCCTGCAAACAAGGGGTGAAGCAGAGGGGGCTGGTTCCCAACACTGCCTCTCACTGCTTAAGTTATAAAAAATTCAAAACATAAATTATTTAAGTCTCGATGTAAAAGAAAAAAATCTAGAAGATGTGGATCAGCCCTCTAGGTGGAAGGGCTTTCCTCCATTTGCTGTGACTTCTGCTTTGTGGCTGTAATCAAAAACATGACTGTGGAAGGAGCAGGAGTTAGGGAGCAGGGACATGGCAGCAGTAAAGGAACTGGGCTTTCCCCAGCAAGGGAGACAGGATGCTCCCCAAAATCTGTGCATGGCTTAGGGCAGGAGGACCTTCCTAAGAAGATGTGGACAAACCTTTTGCCTGATGGGAGAAACTCTGAATAGAGCTGTGAGATGGTTGGGATATATGGTCTTTGTTCAGGAGTAATTTTCCTGCCAGGCTTGTCATGAATACTTTCTACAGTAAAATACATTATAAAGTCCATTATCCATTAACACATAGAGCATTGTGCTTCACAAAATAGATTTTATGATCAGTTGATTTCGTTAAAAATGTGTACATACACTGTAAATAGGAATGCTTAGAAGTAGCAAGTTTCATTAAACAAAGATATGCATGTAAATGGAGTTAATTCATCCATGTCTTAGGTTTTGGAATGGCATACATTCCATCACATTCTGAGTCTCTTGCTAGAAATTTTCAGAAAAAAAAGGCTGAATATGGTTTTAAAATGAAAGATAATAAGCTTATATAAATAATTAATGAACATGTTTAATAATTAATGCTGTAGTCAGAACAGATACAGTACATATTTATAAGAGAAGCACCATATTATTCATACACAAAGAAGGATTTGATCTGGAACTGTATTTTCTGTGCATAGTTGGTGAGTTAACAATTAACTGTCGTGCTGCCAGGATATTAAAGTCATCCGAAGTTAAGGAGTGGGCACTGCTTATAGCTTGGCTGTCTTTAGGTTTCAGAGTTAACTACACTTCAGTGAAACACTTTCTTCTTTGGAAGGGCAGTTTGATCACATTCAGATCAGCCAGGTGAAAACGCAACCAACCGTGATCAGGAGGGCTCTGGAATCTCTTATCTTACAAATTGATGCAACTATTAGTGAATATTTCTGGTTTATTGCTGAGTGAATGCAGTAGAAATGTAATATCTACTCTGTGGTTGGTTTACATTACATTAGTTCCTTTAGGTTCTGTGTTGCATGACAATGTTTGTCCATCAAACCTGGCACAGCTACCCATGTATGATGGCCATTAGTTGGTTGATTTTCATCCCCTTTACAGAATAAGGTTGAAAATGTAATCCACAAGTAATCTATTACCAGAAATATTTTATGAAGATGTGTTACTTAACTTTGACCTAATCTCCTTTAAGGATTGTGATTTTACCTATGTTTTTTATCCTTTCTTTAAATATGTTCATATCTCTTTGCAAGTTCAGTTTATATCTATTAATCATAACACTGTGTTTTCAGCTTGTATGTAACTACTGTTTACTGCAATCCAGATTTTATATCTATTTGATGTGTAAATAGCATAGGTTGGTTTCAATAGCAGCAGTGTATATTGGCTCACAGAACACAGCAGTTGTAAATTGGAATGAGCAGAGGATTGGTAAGGCTGAACGTTGGGAGGTTCTGGTGTTACTGCAATGTTATCACGGTACTAACTCCATGTAGTAACATACCAGTATGAGGTTCTTAGGAATCTTTGAATTAATTGTAAATGATGAAATATAAATGGTAATAGTCAATGAAATGCAGCCTGCTCTGGGAGCTCTCATGTTTCCAATTCCTAGTTAAGAGCCAACATAGAAAAATACTTAGAGAAAAATAGTAAGTTCTGTCGTCTCTCTGGGGAGATATGCTGCAACTTGATGAGAAATCACTACACAATTATAACCCTGTACTGAATCTATCTGACTGGTCACCTGCTAAAAATATAGCATTTATTTCCTGTAGGAGATAATTATGTCCTATCTTAATAGGATGGAATTTCCCCCCATTTTCCCACCCTGCTTTGAAGCCCTCCATTTGTTTTGATGTAATTGTTAGTCATTTATACATGATGAAAGTTTCTCTGTCTTCAGGAGTCTTCTGTTACGGGCACAAAGGTAAACTGAGCTTCTGCAAGGTATTTCTGAAACCTGATTACTGGCTAGGTTGGGGTGCTAATCACCCCAACTGAGTTAACTTCACTTCCTGTGATGTAAGGAGGTGAGTGAAGAAGGACATATATTTTTAAGGATGTTTTTTTCAGACTAGCAACGCCTTTAACTTCTTTTCTTAGTATACAAATAAGTGTAGAGAGTGTAGAGAGTGAACAATGTAGAGGCTAATCGTCATGCCATCGCTGTCAGAGACCTGTGTGCATGGCAAAAGGGTTAAAGGATCTAATTTAAGTTAATCAAGCAAATTTAATGATGACTGTGGAAAGCCTGTGTAAATTTTCCAGCTCTATTTCATGTGTCTTTGAGTGCTGCAGAAGCAGCTGAGATGAGCTCTAAGTGAAGGCTTGGACAGAGGTGAAATTGTCTGTACAATAAGGGCAACCCCTTGAAGAACAAATGCATCATGTAATCCACATCAGTTTTGGAGGCATGGATGCCACAGCAGTTGCCAGTGAGCTGTACTTCCAGCCCCATTCCAGTGCCTCCCGTGGAGCATAGCACTGCAGCCATAAGTCACCACGTTTTTGGGTGTAAATTCCCACGATTCCTGCCCTGCCAGCAGTGGGTGCTTCTGCCATCGCCAGGTCTTCCTGCAGCTCTGTGCTCACAGTCCTTCTCCTCAGCAGCCACTGTGACCATTCTCTTCTGTGGTCATGCTCCCAAAAAAGTAAAGTTTAATTGGCACAGAACAAGAGCACTCTAATGGGAAAAAAAAACCCAACCAAAAAGCAACCCCTGAAATAAGGAAGAGATTTAATGTTCCCACAGTTCTCCTTAGCATATCACATTCTCTCTGCCTCCTTTGCTGCGTAACCCCTAGCAAGGAGCAGTTTCTAGGGGAGAAAGATAGTTAGAGAATTCCCCATATCCTCTGCATCTCTCCTTAGATTTCACTTCAGAGAGGGGAGAAATCTTAAGTAGTTGTAAATCTTCTAGTAATCAAATACAGCAATTACAGATCTTTTACATGTAATACTTTTTTTTCCCTCCTAATTTGTATTTGTGATAACATACTGACATGAGGAATCATAACATCTAACATGCTGCTGTGAATTCTGACTTTGTGTCATGCAAAGGTAATTATAGCTGGTTTCACAGCATCATGCCAGAAGTCCCAATTCATATTGTTTAGTAAGTCCTCAGTGTCTGGCTTTTGCGAACATACAGCATAAAAGCATAAAAGTAAATGTGAAGATTTGCATCTGCATTATCTTTACTTATATCCATTCTTCAGATAGTAATTTCCCAGCTCAGTCTGATACCAGATTCTCATTTTTCAGGCCAGTGGGATTTATTTGGGAGAATTTTAGCTTTCAAGTAGAGAAATCTGGCAGCCAGGGTAGTCATAATGAGTGTTTTATCTTGGGCAGGGCAGTCTGAAATTCCACTCTCAGTTGCACTTCTGCAGCTCCACTGGAGCGGTGGGATCACAGGTGTGTAACAGCCAAATCCTGTACAGCAGATCTAAATTTGATTCCTGCAGGTTCCTTGCTGCATCTTTAACTCCTTGTTTAAGTTACGAAAGGCCATGATTTTGTCACAGCAAGCTGAACAAAAGTTATCCTCACAGGGTTGTGGGGCCTTGCCAGCACTTTCTAGCAGCTGTGACCAAGTTTGTCTTTAATGCAAAACACCAAATAAGAAATTCTGTCATTCACAAAGATTCCCATGAATGTAGGGACATTGTCCATGGCATGAGACACCTTTGTGGGTCATCTCTTTGATACCTCATTCAAATGTTAAGGTAATGCAGTGAAGGTACTGTCATGTTTTATATCATCACTGCCCTAACAGTGTCCTCTAGTCTAGGTCTTCAAAATTGTGCTACTGGTGTCCAGGTGCTTTAATATAATAAAGAGATGAAAATCTAGGCAAGGTCTAATACCCTAAAAAAAGTGTATTCAGTTTCAAGAGTTTAAATATAATTACAGTTATTAGGGTGCTGGGTGATTTGCAGTATTTACAGAATTTAAACTAGTAGCAGGGGTTTTTTAAACTT